TGGATACTAGAAAAGGAAAAAATATGCTGCACGTACCAATGTACCGAGCGTAGTGTGGTTTGATGGAAATCAAGCCATCCAGCCACACTCGAGCATCAAGTAGTGATACTTCGCTTCCCTGTAAAGCTTTTGCAACGGACTCGACCTTCTTCAAGTCTGCTAGCAGAGCACGCAAACGGCGGTTGTACGAAGGGGACGGCAGCAAATCTGCGATGTCGTCGTCATTGCTGTCGATAAACTCCAGCAGTGTGAAGTACCGCATCACCATAGCGAAAGTGGAGCTCCATCGAGTATCTTGGCGGATAACTGGACGGAGCGGCGTTTTAGTTCTACATTCAAAATAGAAACCCAATTAGAAACGTTTCTAACTACATCATTATCAGTTCAAACTTACCTCAGCTTTGGCACTTTGCTTCAGGTTACGAAGCTTGATCATTAACTTCTGGACAGCATCCAGCTCGTCCTCATAGTCTTGTATGTCAGCTTGCACTGCTCGGTTAAGGCGGTGGCTGGCACAGCCGATTAGCGGCACACCCATCAGCGTTGCGAGCCGCCGGTTAACCGAGCAGTTGTCTCCCACTAGGAAACAGCACTGGCCCAGCTGCTTGCCGTAGTCCCGAGGCAGCATAGTGGCAAGAAACTCCATGTGGCCGCGGGCGGAGAGGTCTTCCTCCTCCTCGTTGAGCAGTGGAGCCATACAAAGAAGAGGAGTCTTGACGACCCCGTCCACCTCGCAGCGAGCGTACACTGCAATGTAATGATCTGAAGCATGAGACCACCCATCAAAGATTAGCCCAAAAAGGTCAGGCATCTCTTCAGCGATGCCACGCTCCACGGCCCGCGTCACACTACTCATGCCAGAGACGAGCGTCTCGACACAACTTGAGTCAAGGTTAGAGTACCTATAGAAAGCAAATAGAAACAGAAGTTAGAAATTCACTGGCAACTTTAGAAATGCGTATCACTTACCTTTTGGCCGCCTCATTCTCACAGAATGATAGCGGAAGATTGCTCTTTAGGATCCACTCCATCCAGCTGAATAGATTGAGAGAGGAGCGCCGCACGTAGTTGAGGATAGACTCCGTCTCGGCCGAGCCGGCGGCGAGCATGAGGCTCTCATGAGTTGGGTGCTCGCTTCGAACGTGCGATACCAGGTTGGAAAAGCCATTGCGGCTAGCCTGCTTTCGAACCGTGCCGCAACGACAGCGGTAGTACTCGAGGATGACTTCATCAAGCTCGTCGCGGCACGGTTGAACGAAACACCCAGCAGTTTGTGCTGGCGTGAACGTGGAGCGCACACTGCGTCGAGACGAGAAGACCATGGTAACGGGAGTGTCGGCGTGGGAAGTGAGAGAAAAGAAAATGAGTCTGCTGAGATCAGCCGATTCGGCAACAAAACGACTGGTTCGTGGCGATCGATTGACTGCTGCAGATAACTTCAGGAAACTGTACGCATAAATTACCGTATGTAATATGCAGCCACCATAAATTATACACGAGCCTAGTTTAGGGTGACAACATAAATAATGTCTGC